TTCGCTGGAGGAGTTCCGGGGGGTGTTGATCGCTTACTACGACGTGTTTTCTGTTTAGGCGGTGAATTACGAGGGGTAGAGCCAACTGAATGGGACCTCTTAGTTGACATTACTTGGTGGTAATATCGCATATAAAAAAAAAAGAAAGGAAAACAAATAAATAAATAAAACTACGTCTGCGTGTTCTTATAATGGATGAACCGCCGACTGTGGACCAGTCAGTTACGTGGCTGGGCCACAACTGGAGTGGGGGCCGGGGATTAATAATTTTCTATTACTAATGAAATTCATTATGAATTCAATAATCTTTCCGGGGACTTTAATAGCTTCCATTTTTTGTGAAAGTATGTGTATTGGAATTGATTCTTATGCCTTCTCTATGTCTAAAAATAATCCAATTCTCTTTTTATCTTCAGTAAATCCTAAATTTATGTCAGAATGCAAGACCAATAAACTGTCCATACTTGGCTTCTCTTTCCTAAAACCACATTGAGAGTCAGGTAATTTATTCTGAGATGTTAACAACAATAATGATTAACACAATAGTGATGACTGTTGAATTATATAAAGTAGATTCTTTAAAATAGTACTAGATGTGAAGAAAGCAAAATAAGCAAGTGGTCAATAAAATAACAGATTCCAAAAAAACCCTCCTCCACCCAATCTATTAAGGTTATAATATATCTAAAAATTAAAAAGGATTAAACTAACAGAAATAGATCATTTAATTAAATAATGTTACTACAAATAAAACAGTAAAGTAAATAAATTAGATAACATAAAGTTTTAATTTAATCTAATAATTTTAATGAATAGGTTATAAAATAACAGGTTTTAACTGTTAAAATTATTTAAAGTGAATTGTGTGTTTTTTAATCCATTAATTTATTATTTATATATTTTTAAAGTCTTTTGGATAAATTTTATATCGAACTTAAATATAGTTTGTGATAAAAGACATTATGATAATAGGAATAGCAAGTAATTGTTATGAATTATAAATATTTTTAATTGGTAATTGGTTGACTTTCGTGGATAATAAAGAGAAGAATAGTTGGGGTGGTCAGTCAAAAAGGAAGGCAAAAATAAATGATAATATTTATTTTTACATATGCCCATAATATTATTTTGACTGACCACCCCATTCTTCTCTTCATTATAAATATTTTTTTTTTTTTTTAATTTTATTGAGTATTAATACAGTCTGCCACACTGAAGGGAATTGGTACTAGGGCTATAGTATTCATAGTCAGACAAAATTGTTTAGGATTAGATGATGTTTGAGTAGGATGTTGAGGGTGGGGTTGAGAATTTTGAGGTATATATTGTTGTTGCGGCAGGGTCTCACAATATGTAATATCGTTCTTACCTCCTAAGAGGTGTGCAAAAGACATTTTCGGGTCTATGGTTTTGGTAGGTTCTTCTTTATTGATCCGGATCTTTCAGTTTCTTCTTAGTATCGGGATTTCTGGTATCTGGATTTAATATTCTTGTATATCTGGCAGCCTTTGTAGTTCGCCAGATGTCCTTCACGGCACAAAGCACAGACTGCAGTTTCTTGTTTAGATTTTGTACACTCACCAGTTTTGTGTTGTCCACCGCATTTTACACAACTCGACAAATGATGACGGTATCGTTAACAATTTCTTCCTTATCACTTAATTTAATAATAGCTGTTTCTGGTAAAATTACTGGATAGGATGAATTATTTTGGATAGTAATATGTTTAATATTAAAACTAATAAAAACATCAATGGTTTCTGCATAAGATATTTAAGGTTCTAAATTGCTAATAGTTGTGGTTGAACAATAACTTAAATTATTATGAATAGAATTATTTATACATGTATCATTAATTTTATAAATTTTATTACAATAATAATTAGTTTTGATAAAATTACACTCTCCTTTATACACTTCTGCGTTATTATATAATACCACTTGATTATTTACAATTGTTGTTATAATATGATTATTCTTTCTTACTGGAAAAGATAATAAATACATAAGATAATAAAGTACTATAAGTTTCAGCTTTAGTAGGTAACTGTATCATATAATGGATAATATTATTTTTAATCATACAAGATAGTTTACTTGTGAGCCATAATGTCTCAAGATCAGAGCTTACAAATTCTGAATTATTATTTATATCAATATTTTTTAAAATACTGGAATGTGTTATTCCAAGTTTTCACATTTCTAATGAATTTTCAATGTCCATGATTACAATCGTGATATAATTTAGAATGTCGTATAATTCATTTAAATGGTTTGTTAATGTTGTCTTGTCGACTGTATTTATTAAATTGACTAATTTATTACTATTAGTGTTAGCTCCCTCTTAATTTATGTCAAACTTCGAATGAAGCCTAACTATTTAATTGTGATTTAATAAAAGATAAAGAAATAAAGTGGACTGTATCTTCAAACATTAATTTTGGAACATTTACGAAATCTAATATTGAAAACATAAAAACAAAATGAATCAATTTTACACTTGTTAGATAGGTAAAAAAATAACAAACTTCTAGCATAAAATAAAGACCAGCTGAACAAACAATTGTGACAATATTAATGAAACATTTTCATGCTTGATCATAAATAAAAACTATTTCTATGGCCCAAATTATAATAAAAAAACAACAACAAAAAAAACAACTTCTCTGAAGTCCCAATATGAATTTTATATATATATATATATATATATATATATATATATATATATATATATATAACAAATAATTAGATTGTACAACGTTATGTGGACGAAGCAGGACGTTTTTTTTTTTTTAGAAAAATAACTTTATTTTTTTTTAGAAAAATAACTTTATTCTGGGACACAGTCCCTTGAGAATAACAAAATAGAAACAAAATTAAAATATTACATCTGGCCAAAATAAAATCAATCGAAAAAAAGAAATAATGTAAAAAAAAAATATAATGTAAAAATTCTATATACAAAACAAACTAAACTATATACAAAACCATTAATACTATGACAAAACACTTAAAGCTATTTGCTCTTATAGACCAGTATACACTTTTCCGAAAAAAATAAAGAATTAAAACATAAAAATGTATCAAATTCTCTATTAAAATCCGCTCGAATGGTTAGCAAGTATCTGACTGTTTTTGTGATAGGAATTGGAATAGGAGGGATTTGAATGTGGATATGGAGGGGGAATGTGGAATTTTGATAGGGAGGGAATTCCAGAAATTGACAGAGCGGACAATAAAGGAATTTTGGAATGAGGCAGATCTGTGAGAAGGCATGTAAAGGTCAGAAGGTCGAGATTTTGTGGACAGGGAATGGACTGAGGATTTGAACTGGAGAAGGTTGTAGGCGTAAGAAGGACGATGGTTGTTGATGATTTGGTAGAGGAACGTACCTAGAAAATATTGTCTTCGGAAGGAGGGGAAGAGCCACCTTAACTCAGTGTAGTGGTGAGAGACATTCGTAAACCTCGTGTCTCTATGCAGAAACCAATTGTAACTCTTCAATGAGCGTGCTCAAAACGAACTGCAAATGGGCAGCGGCGAGCACGACGAGAGAAGTACGTCGTGAATGTTTTGAGAAGAGAATGTTTTGAGTGGTGCCAAACGGGTTTTAGAAACGATTAGATGTGTTTCTGTGTATCCGTCGAGAAACTGAACTCTCAAATAAATAGAAGCTGCATACCCCCGTTCCGATGCATCAGCGAACCCTACTAAGGTAACATGGGTAGGTTTTTGGGAAAATATACAGCGAGGTATCCGTATGGATCGCATGATGTTAAGAGAGTAAAAGAATTCTCTATATTCTTCGGCTAGTCCTGGTGGAAGTGGAGAGTCCCAGTTTAAATCCATTAAACTCCATAAGTGTTGTAAGTACGCTTTGGCCTTAAATGTGACTGGAGCGAGATAACCTAGAGGATCGTACATCCGAGCGACGGCAGACATAATACCCCTTTTCGTCATTCTTTCGTCAGTCTCTTCAGAGTAGAACTGCAGTGGGCAGTCTTGAAGTTGGCAGTACTCAGCTCAGTGACGGGCGGAGTCAGACTGTCTATTGTCAATTCTACCGCCTTATGGCTTGAACCTAGCACTTGTTTATAGCTAGTGCTACTACAATCCATAACAAAGTAGTCCAAGTATAGACTATTGATTTATTTAATATAAACAATATAAGCTATGGGCCTATAATACTTAATATACACCTATCTTATACATAAATATACATATTATTAATTGATTTCACTTTGCTAAAATAAAACAAATCGACAATTAATCAAACTAGTTAAGTGTAAAATAAATTGAATTAACGCTGTGGCGTTTTTAACTGTAAAAATAAAATAAATTAACGCTGTGGCGTTAGCATACCGCCCACCAATTTTGTCTCTGGGCAAAATTTACACACTTCACACCAATCGGGAGATAGCAATGGCGCTAATTTCGTAACAGGGCGAATAAGGTCTCCCTTCGCGGTTTTAAGTTTCACTACTCTCACTGTCCCATCACGACCTGGGAGGACTTCCATTACTCTTGGTCACTGCAATGGAGGTATGTTAGATTCCCTTAACAAGACTAGGGCATTTGGTTTAATATTCTCCTGTCTATTGGACCACTTGACCCTCTGTTGAAGGCAATTCAAGTAGTCGCCCCTCCATCTCTTCCAAATGTCTTGGGTGAGTTTTTGCTAAAGTTGCCACCGCGAGAGTCGGTTGATTGGGGTTTCGACAAAATTAGGCTCTGGAACGGCAACGAGGGGAGTGTCTATTATAAAGTGCCCTGGGGTCAATACATCCAGATTATACTGAAGATCATACTTCTACAGGATCATTTCAGTAGTTCGTAAATATACTAAGAGTTATACATAAGAGAAGAGACGAGTAAGGGACTCATACTGACTTCGGTACCGAACACTGGTAACAGTGTTTTTTGTGTCATCTCGAAAAGTTTGTTTACATTTCGATTTGATAAAGCTTTTTTGGCGTGGTTAAATTGGGACCACGGTGTCCATGGAGAGTAAGAACCTTCCTATTTTGGATCCCACTTCCGATCCGAGGCAGGGCAAACTCTCAGGGACCGTTATCACTGCACTTTCCAGGTCCCCGTCATTTGCTCCTTCACTTCAACACCCAACTGTAACGTTGATAGAAAAAATGGATTCTGAAGCGAAACGAAAAAGCCAGTCTAACAACGGCTTCGAAATGGCTAAGAAAACCGTAAACACTAAGAGAATGGAAGAACCTTCTGTAGTAGCTACTGCTAACAAATATCTCCCGTTAAATAGTATTTCAACCGAACCTCGATCTGCTATTGAAACTGTTAATCAACCAGCTCCCCAAACAACTTCTCAAACAACCCCAACCAAAATACCTCAAGTACCTCCGATAGTCATACCAGGCACACATTCAACAACCTTTATAACGGAATTCATGACTTCACTAAATATTACAAATTATTTCCTGTGCCGCACAAGAAAAGATTTACGTATTATTCTCGTTTCTGCCAATGATCGTACTCTGCTCTTGCGTGGTCTAACAGAAAATAATATTAAATACCATACATTCGCAGTTCGTGGAGATGAACAGCGACCTCAGCGGTTTATACTAAAAAACCTCGATCTCCAAGAAGACATTGAAAATGTTAAGGCTTCCCTAGCACCAGTAGGTGTAATAGATGTTAGAAGGTTGCAAAAACCGCTCCAGATGGATCAAAAATCACACTTTCACCCATACTTGTGATTGTCCCTGCCAATGTCACAATCGAGGAGATTCGAGCCATTAAAGCGGTCAATAGAGTGATTTTTCGAGTTGAGAAATATATAACACGGCAAAGCGACCTCATCCAATGTTTCCACTGCCAAAAATTCGGACCTACGAGAAACTATTGCGGACACGTAGAAGTATGCGTCAGATGCTCTGGACCTCGTAATATTTCAGCATGTCCCCGACAGGGTCAACCAAAGTGCCCAAATTGCTCACAGGAACATGTTGCCTCGTTTCGCCAATGCTCTTATCAACTTCAGTACAGTGAACAACTGCAGAAGAGAAAAGGAGAATTAGCCTCAAGAAAGAAAACAGCTACCGACGCGACATCAAACCCTACTTCGAATCCAAAAAGGAAACACTTATGCGAAGACTTTAATACTTCCAACTGACCCATCAACACTCGAACAAGTACGACAACTTCCACCAGAAGCTGAACCATCACCATGGCTTACACAGTTCCAAAAATCTATGAATGGACTACTACAACAATTAATTACCTTAATAAATTCAATAGTGAACCTCGTTACCCAAAAATGAGAGAATACTCCATTCTTAACTTCAATTGTAACGGCCTGTCAGTCAAGATAGAAGTAGTGGAAGCACTGTTAGCCATCACTGAGCCCTCTATTGCAATCATTACAGATAATCGGACACTAAATCGTCGCCCTCGCTTCCAGGGTTACTCAGTAGTCACTGATGAATGTTATGATCCTCATGGAGGTGTAATTATAGCGATACGTCACGGCATAACTTGGAAGAAGATACCCACACCAGTGCGCATAGTAGACAACAGAATCAGTCATCTCACTATACAAGTATTGATGCAACAGCCTACCTACATTACTGGTATCTATCGTCGACCTCGTGGGTCTTTACGAGAACTACGACAACTGCTTGAAATCTGTGCGAAGAAAACAAACCATTGGCTTGTGGGAGATTTCAACGCTAGGCACAGTCTATGGCACAATACTTCTTCGAACGGAGCTGGAAAACATCTGGTGAAAACAGCTTTCACGGTGGTGCACCCAGCAACATACACTTATCGCCATGCTGGGAAGGGGTCTACCTCTACTATTGACCTCCTTCTCACTAGACAACCACATCGTATTACTGGATGCTCTGCCCTTGACTTCATCACATCAGATCACCGCCCAGTTGTCTATAATATACATGGAAGATCAAAAAAACCAATTGCGAAGAAATTTAAGTATCAGGAGGCAGACTGGAAGAGATATCGAGACGAAGTATTCAATAAACTCTAGGCAGTGCCTCCCCTCCGAACAAGAGAAGACGTTGACAATTACATCAAATTCTTCACCACCATTAACCATACCTACCTTTCAGCCACAACCACCGCACCTCAGACGACTTCCACCGCATATTATGACGTTGATCGAATGTCGGCGAACCCTGAAAAATAGGTGGTATCGTACCAAGAACTCGGAAGTTAAGAAAGTTTTAAATTCAATTACATGCCAAATCAAAAACGTACTTAAAAAATGGAAGAGTACTTTAATCACTACTCAGCCTGATGATTGATGAGTACAAAAAGTAATCAAAGTACTTTGCATTTTCTAATTTACTCAGAATAATTTTACTTTAGTTGTTTTCTGAGTAATCGAGTAGATCATTTAACAAATTACATGCGTATAATAATTTATATTTCTTTTCAATTTCAATCAGTGCAATCTCAAATTCGAGATTATTTTCATAAAAAGCACCCCCGAAAACATAATAGTCGACCCTTATTTATATCGATTAAATCCGAAAAGTTACAAAATGTCGATGACCGAGGAGGTGAGGGCGCAATCTCAAATTTGACAGTATTTTTATAAAAAACACTCCCGAAAGGATAATAGCCGACCCTTATATCGATTAAATCCGAAAAGGTACAAAAAGGTGATGCGGGAAAGCGCAATCTTTAATTCGACAATATTTTCATAATAAGCGCTCTCCACCCTCCCCCAAACATAATAATCTACCCTAATATCGATTAATGGGTGGTTAGATTCAATATGGACGCTATTATAGAAGGTATAAAAAAAATACATTTATACTGTTATAATAATGATGGAGTAGTTGAAAAATAAAAAGTAGTCAGAGGAATTAGGTGGAATATTTTCTGTAATTCTACTTAACATTACTAGTAGTTTCTGTACTTAACTAAAGCATGATTAACGCTGCGTGAGTACTCTCATTACTCGCCGATGTCAGGCCAATTGCAAAAAGTACTCAATACTTTTTTCATACTTACTTAATAGAAGTACCCAAATCATGAAAGTAATCGGGTAACGCCGATCTCTATTCCAACTACATTAGCACTTAATAGACAAACGTTCTAAACTCCCAATTAACTACAAAAAAACTCATATACATGACTATAATAAGGCCTATTGGACATATGGAGTTTAGCTTTAGGATTACATTAAGCCATCGAATTCCTCTCGTATCCAATCCTTACAATCCAAAATCCTTCTTATAAGGCTCACAAAGGTTTATTTATTATCTTATAAGGCTTATTATGGCAAGATCGAGTCACAGCAACTCACGGCGACGAAAATTCTGGAAACCTACAAAAACTGCAACTTGAAAGTCTTCAACGATTCGACTTCACGACGGGGACCGCCTGCTTACATCTATTGAGCAAGCCGAGGTTCTTGTTGACCACTACGGAAGGGATATTTATGTCAGAACTGACCCGCAATTGATCATACCCAGTACGACCAGGGACATAAATTTCATGTTTATAAGTTCTAAGAAATTAAAAACCATCATTCGACGAACCAGCGGTAACCGTGCACCGGGTCAAGACGGTTTACAAACCATTTTGCTAAAGCAACTTCCTCAGAGAGGTATAGTACACCATACGAATTTATACAATACCGGCCTCCGACTGAGATATTTTCCAGAACAATGGAAACACACAATATTGTTCCCTCTATTAAAACCGGCAAAAACAGGCAATGCTCCAGAACACTATAGACCTATCAGTTTGCTGCCACACCTCGCAAAAATTTTTGAAAAGATAATTCTGAATTATCTTAGGGATTTTTGTGAGGAACAATCAGTCATACCATATGAACAAACAGGTTTCCAAGCACAAATAAAAACTCAACACCATTTAATGAAACTGCAATCTGAAATCTGCCACAATTTCAATAAAAATACAGCCACAGCAATGATATCTATAGATTGCTCGAAAGTATTCGATTCCGTATCTCACAGCATTCTCTGCCAGAAGCTACTTGATCTTGAGTGCCCTGAACAGCTCTACAGTATCATACAGTCATTTTTAACAAACCGAAGCCTGGCTGTACGAGTACAAGATAAACACTCCCGTACTGTCCCCTTAACCTGCGGTGTACCCCAAGGAGTAGTTCTTTCACCATTATTATATTGCATCTACATGGCGGAAATCATAGGTCAAAACTATAAACGCGCTACTATTGCCGCTTACGCCGACGATATAGCCGTTTATAGTGCAAGCATAAACCCCACCAAAGCACTAGCTCAAGCCGAGACTGTTTGCGAAACAATTGTACAGAAACTGGAACTCTTAAATATTAAAGTAAACAGCTCAAAAACTGATTGTGTAGTATTCTCACTTCAAAAAGGAAAAAGAAGTAGGCTGCCAAAGATCTTTAAAATTGGAAAAACAACTAAACCACCGTCTCGCTCGATCGTCTACCTTGGCATTATTCTAGATCGACATATGGAACTGTCGACTCACATATATAACAAAACCAAATCTGTAAGACTGAAAACATATAGACTCCAACATCTTCTAATTTCCCCAACACTGTCACTTAGACTTAAATTACTAATATATAAAAGTATTTTACGACCTACCTTGATGTACGGCGCATCACTCTTTACACATCTTACTGACGGCACACTAAAACACATCCATCGATACCAAAACAGTGTATTGAGAAAAATTACTCGATCCATTTTTGTGTTTATAAGGATCTTATTACTACTTAATAACTAACTTACTAGCTAACTTACTATCTAAGATTGAACCAAGACTGAACTTTGCCACCGAACTGGGGCCGGTGCTGGAGATGGTGTATTGAAAAGAGGATTTGGAAGTGCTTTCAAAGAGTCCATAAATTTTCCATGTCGTTTTAGAATGAACTGTTTAATCGTGGAAAGTTCAAAGATTTTGTGCAGCTGATCTACCTTTATCATTTTTATTATAGTCTTGCTTATGAGGATTTTTATCATTTTTATTATGATTATTATAACCTTTTTTAGGAAAAAGTTGTTGTAATAAAGGTAAACCTTCATTTTGTAACTTAATCCTTAACCTTAGGATCAAAAATTCTCATATAATTTTCCAATTCTATCGGCAAGCAACTAATTACATGATGTGTAATTCTTTCTTTTATATATTTAATATGACCATCTTGAAATGTAACGTCACTATCAACCCTTATTCTCGAAATTAATACCGATAGTGCGGATTCTACTCTATTAATGAATTCTACAGGGTATTCGTACTTAAATGGACGCATAGACATAAGTTCATGGTCTAGTTGACATATTGTCTTCTGGTCCCTATAATTATTTTCAATAAAAATTAGTAGTTCATCTAAATTCACGAAATGTTGAGTTCGGATGTGATTTTTCGCTTCTCCCTTAATTTTTGATTTTACTTTATTTAAAAGAGCTGCGTGATTTTCTAGTGCTAAGGTATTATTAGCCTTGCAAACATAATGAAAAACATCCCTAACCTCAGATAAAAATTCGTAAACTTCCTTTGAGTCACCGTAAAAATCTTGAATATGGCCATAGTCCATAGTAGTCATTTTATAAGTAATCATTTGTGGTTGTTGTGTTACTTGTTGTATTTGTTGTTGAATTTGTTGTTGTTGTTGTTGTGCTTTTTGAAGATGTTGTTGTTGTGTTTGTTCAATTTCTAATTCTGAATCAGACATTTTTGGTGTATATACTGTTAATTTACTACGTCTTAATTTCAATGGCTTAAAAAAAATTATATAAATTTCAAAGCTAAAATTGTTATACAAAAAATTTAACAAAAAAAAAAATTACAGATTTGTACCTGAAGTATTCTTTTAAGTCCTTCCGAAGTACCTCCGATCCAATATAAGTTCTTGAAACTGTTTGAAGTGTTGAACACACCTTGAAGCAGCTAGTTCCAGATTCTGTTGTCCAATGACTATTTCTTCAAATCTTCTTGACCTGACACTTAGAGCTGTTACTTTAAAGTAATTTCTTCACTCTTCTTTCTTCAAGTTAACACAGGTCCCTACGTTCGGGCGCCAATTAAATCTTCGATACTCACTCGGACTTAAAAAAAAAGTTTATTTGGCAAAAAGTATACGTTATGAATGAACAAAATATATATGTTACAACAACTACACTAACTATGGCTTCTAACTATCAACTATGAGTGACAAAGTCTGACTACTTGCTAGGCGGGTAAGGGAGGGGTATTTATACAGAGTCAGGAGAAATATGCTGACTCTAGGGATATACCATTATTTGGCTATCCTAAGTTACTCTTAATGTTCGCTCCTGCTGTAATAATGTAACGTCTGTTTAGGAATTTTAGTAATTGATACGTGTGAAAATCTGCTTTGGTCTCTGTTAGATACTTCACAATTTTTCTATAAGTCTCAGCTGTATCTGGTGATATTTGGGTGTCATTCGTTCTGCTTAGACATGAGTCGCTTCCGCAGCCTGCTGTATTGTTTATTGAGAACACAGTAATTGAATTTTTTTTTTATATTCTTAACGAATATCGGTGGAGGTCGGGGGTCTCTTGGTGTCGGTGCGGACTCCATTACCTCACTGTCATTCTGAAGCACCTGATAGGGGTTGGGTTTAGCAAAAGAGGATTCTTCAATTGTCTCTTGTGATGATGTACCTGGTTGAGGCTGAGGTTCTTTAATGTTCTCTTGTGGTGATGTACCTGGCTGGATTTCATATTCTTCGGAGCTAACGGGTGTCATTGGAGGTGTTTGACGAGATTTACGTGGCTTTTGTATGGCCGGAGAAGAAAATGAAGGTGTCGGGCCTAACGACCTGTTTCTCTTATTAACCTCTCTACTAGTGATATTCATGGTAATAATAATTAAATATGTATATATATATATATATATATATATATATATATATATATATATATATATAAATAAAAATAACTTTATTTTGATAACTCTACACAGTAAACATCAATTTTCTGGTGTGTTCATGAACTGTTTTAATTAAATAAAAACAGAGAATCTTCTCAAAAACCAGTAAATAATGAGAGCTGAGTTGAAAACACAACCTTGCTCATCCTGAAAATAATGAAATCAAATTATCCGATGAACTTATCAGTCTTAGGGAAATGTTCTACCTAATTATATTTTTAGTTCTACTTGGTTTGCCTTTCAAACGCAGACAGATGTTGTTTTCTCCAATTCACTATGCATCATAATTTATGCTCTAAAGAGTAATCATATCTTGCACACTATAGGAGTTTGATGAATTTTTGAAGGAATTAGTTGACTGTTCTACACATCATGTGTGATAAATAGTCAGGACACAATTATTATAATTTTTTATTATTTTTTTATTTTATTTTTATTTTACTTGAAAGCCTTCAGTGCTTGAACCACGCCTTGATGATGGCCCACATGTTCGGGTTGAAATGTTGTCACAAATAATAAAAAAAAAAAATTATAATGACTGCGTCCTGACTATTTATCTCACCCATTATAGGAGTTTGACTATGGTTGGTTGAGAGACCCCTGAACATTTGAGATAACATTCCTCTATATCTCTCTCTGATTATTATCTGAGGACCGCCTTGAGTGCAGATCTACCGCGGGCTTCTTTCTGACCGTTTATCTACAAAATTTTACAAGCAAAATCAAGAAAACAACCTATTTTTCACATCACCTAATGAAATATGAATATGGGGTTCAGCAATTACTTTGTTGGAAGAAGAGGTTCAGTCATGGGAAATTAATTTTCATTAAGTCATCAAGAAATTGAACATAAAAACCACAAACAGACTGTTGTCGGAGGTACAGCTGAGAAGAATTAGCCCTCAGACACTGAAAATTTCCAAAATCAAAAACAGGGTATTCACAGTATGACTTTGTAGAGGGAAAAAAGTGTAAGCGACGGGTATTAGCTTTTGAATTTGTATATAGGAGAATCAGGCATAAAATTGCCAAAAGGAATAACTGCTGATACACAGATAACTATGCATCTTAAAACTGTAAATTAACACATAGTGATGCACACATTGGAAAAAAAAATGATGACCCTATTGTCAATTATTTAATTTTAAGGTTAGGAATCAGCATATATTTTCTGTAGATGAATAGATAGAATAAAAACAGATACAATAGAGCTGCATGCAGATAACTGGATAGAAATAGCCCAAGATAGGCAATGATGAAGCTGGCTTGTTAAGGCTTTACCACCTATTAAAAAGATCTACAAGGTCTGCAATGCCAACAGAAAAAAAAGATATATATGTGTATTTTTGTATATACAATAGAGCTGCGTGCGGATAACTGGATAGAAATAGCCCAAGATAGGCAGAGATGAAGCTGGTTTGTTAAGGCATTACCACCTTTTAAAAAGATCTACAAGGTCTGCAATGCCAACAGAAAAAAAAATTCCTTAACCTGGTCAGAGCTGCTGAGAAGGTAGGATAAGTAATTATTGAGCCCAAAACAAAAGTAAATAATAATAATAATAAAAGGCTTAGCGAACCCGAAGGTTCGATGCCAACACCACCAATCGCTTATTACACACCTCACTCCAGCGTTCGCCGTCGAAACCCAGTCCCTTCAGATCGACTTTAATGCAATCTTCCCACCTTCGCTTCGGTCTACCCCTCGGACGCTTACCATTCGGCACAGCAAATATTAACCTTTTAGGAATTCTCTCGTTACTAATTCCAACAACTTTACAAGCCCATTTGATTCGCCGCGATGAAATTATCTCAGTTATATTACTTGGATACAGTTCACGCAATTCGGCGTTGTGTAACCGTCTGAACTCTCCGGTTAACTCATATTTCTTCGGTCCGAATATTCTACGCAATTTTCAAAAACCTTAAGACGCTGCTCATCCCTTAATGTAAGCGGCCAAGTTTCGCACCCATAAAGAACTGTATGCAAGATAATTGTTTTATAGATTCTAATTTTTAAGTTACGGGACAAGAGGCGCGAACTAAGTAGTTTTGTCACAAAAAATAACAAGCATTTCCCGTCTTCATTCTAACCTTAATTTCTTCTTCAATTTCGTTTTTTTCTAGTTATCGTAGAGCCTAGATACCTAAACTTCTCTACCTGTTCAAACATATTACCATCTATATCGATATCACCAGTAGTATCGCCATTTTTGCAGCTAACCATATATTTTGTTTTATCCACGTTTATTTCGAGTCCTATTTCTTTACCGGCTTTCATTAACGTTGTCGTATTTAGTTTTATAGTTTCAACGTCTTCGCTTAACAGTAACAGATCATCCGCATAGCCCAGCACGGATGTTGTCCCACCCAGATCCAACCCTTTCTCGGTAGGCATTACCTCCCTAATGGCATGTTCTGATGCCAAATTGAACAGGACACGCAAAAAGTAATCCCCCTGTTTTAAACCCGAACGAACCTCAAATTTTTCGGACAGATTATTACCGATTCTAACTTTATTGAGTGTCTCCGTCAAGCACATCCTGACTAGATTTACTAATTTTTTAGGAATCCCCTGCTCGATTAAAATATTATACAGTTTCTGGCGGTCAATAGAATCGTAAGCCTTTTTAAAATCTATATACAGCTGGTGAACAATACCGTTGTACTCCAATTTTTTCTCTAATATTTGCCGTAAAGAAAATATTTGATCAATAGTCGAACGATTCCGTCTAAATCCGCATTATTAGTCTCCGTTAATTTCCTCTGCGTATTCCGTGATTCGCCTGGTTAAGATTAAAGTAAATATTTTATAACATACCGGAAGGAGTGAAATTCCTCGATAGTTATTACAATCCGTCCTCGCTCCCTTTTTGTGAATCGGAATAAGAATAGATTCTTTCCCTTCTTCAGATAATTTCTCATTCACCCAGATCTTTTTAACCAACCGATGTATTTTAGAAACTCCAGTTTCCCCGCATGCCTTAATTAGCTCAGTAGGAATATTGTCAGTTCCCGCTGCTTTATAAGATTTTAATTTTCCGATAGCTAATTCAACTTCCTCTTTACTTGGTCCTTCTATTAACGGTTCAGCACCCATTCGAGTTTATCGTAAAATTCACTTTTGACTTATTGTTGGTCAGCGAGTCCATCGGACTTAGCCGGGAGGAACTTCCAAGGGATTTCCACCGACCATCCCCACATCCGCCACCCGTGGAACGCTCCCCATACGCGGTAATGAGCCCGCGCGAGGATATATATATATAATATAATATGAAGGTAATATCATATATTTATAAAGGTATAAAAGTTATATTTGTAATAAAAAGTTTCAAAATAAAAGTAAATATCTGTTAATCAATTTTTAATTTTTTTCAAGACTACAGAAATCTAGTTACTGGGTATTATAGATCATAAAATAGCAGTACTCTAAGTTAAAACAAATATATTTATCAGTTTTATCATTATTTAATGTTGAGCAATAGTTGATTAAATAGTAAAACTGTTTAATGATTTAAGGTGCCTGGTGGGGAATCAACTTCACTAAGTGATGGAAATGGGACGCCTTCAACTGAAAATTTAACGGATAGGAGTCTTGACAAAAATAGAGGAGAAAAAAAAGTGGAGAGGAATGAAAGCAATGTAATTTATGATAAACTATGATTTACCTTTACTTTTTTCTCTAAGTTTATAAAATTCTATGCAATTTTTAAGTGCGAACAATCAAACAACAATGAAAAAAATTTCTTATAGCTTTTTTTATTAATGTATACAGTTATAGAAAACACCTATGCTGTTATTGAGGACAAAAAAGTAAATAAAAAGTTGGTGCTGTGCGCGCATCACACAACTTTCACTTACCACCCTTTTCTTAGCAGAAATGAGTATTTTCAGACAAAACGAAGTGAAAGTAAAAATTATAGGCTCTATATTTATTTATATTTCATTGTGGGTATTTTTATTTGTATAAATACCCTCATATATACAAATTTTAATATTTATATCACTGTAATATATACAATTAAATATTAAATAATACCAACAATAGCATTTATGAAAACCACATATGTATATTTATAAAATATTGTCGGAGTCTGTATTATATTAATTTCATGATACATATGGAAGCGTGTTCTAATCTTTCGGGCGAGCTTGGGTGCGCTCGTATTTCTTTTGTTCCTCAAATACAACTATTCTCCGTTACGATCTATTATTTCTCGTTTAGTTATTTTTCAAATTCTTTCATATTTTATATTTAACTATTTATAATATTACAAATTAATATGAAATAGTCAATTGTTTCAAATAGAAAAAATTAAAGGTACGTTAGAGGAAGCTAATATTGAAAATTAGCCATTTAAGCCATGTTAGAGAACATTAATCAGAATAATAACCACATTTTATTTAAAACTGCTTACTTTTACACTGAATTTAATTTGACGATTTGATGAATTTAATCAAAATCGTTGGAGCGGTTTTAAAGATAATCGAAAAAAGGTGTTTAGTACATTATATAAAGTGCCACTTCCGGTTAGCTGATTTTGACGAAAAAGTTGCTGTGACATCCCTAGCATATAAAAACCTTAAATATACAAATTCATTTCCGTACGACTTTTCGTTTTTGAGCTAGGCTGTTAACACGCACACACAAACAGACCATTTTGTGGGACTTATAGGGGGTTATTTGGACTTAGGGATCTCAAAACATGTATTTCCGTTGAAAATTCAGATTCAAAAATTTTCATATTACATATATAGGTAAGTGAAAGAAATAAAATCTTATAACTGATGGTTAAATTCTTGATACTTTAGGTCTAACAGTCATTTACATAAAAATATAACTAATTTTTGATTATTATTAGAAATGGTATTTTTTAAAAAATAAAATGCCAATTATTTTCTTGTTTCAAGGTTACTGCTATATCTGAGCAACCAGTAGATCAAGAAAATATTAAAAGTTCTGTGAAGAAGGTTCCACCTGACAGTGCCAGTAGCACAGAAGATAGTGAAGAAGAAGAGGATTACAGGCATCTTGAAGGATTTACAAGATCAGCAGCTGGCATTGAGGTATTTATTTATTTTTTGGAAATGGTTATGTTTGATTATGTTTCTTTAACATACATATATAGATTGTCACACACTCACACACTCCTTGGCGCTAATGCCCAATGTGGTGCTTGGCCTCATCAACAAGTCTTCTCCTGGTAGCTCGATCTTGTGCCGGGAGGAGAGGTAAGAGCTTCTCAGGCGCTTTCTGGGACCAAAATAGCACCTATTTGCATTGAGCCGCTGAATGTTTCCCCTGATATCCTGTTTCCACAACTCAATACCAACCCCAAATATACAAATTGGTCAACATTCTGAAACGTAAATTAATGAATTGGCACCACGGTCTGTCGATCCGCTGCCTCAGCTCTATGCCCTGCTCTCATATAATTTTTCTTCTGGTTTACGCACATCGCCATATCTTCCGCAACGTATTGTAAATTTAGGAAAGTTTCTTTGAAGGACTCAAAGAATCTCGCCACAATATCTAAGTGATTAGCAAAGCCGAAATTTTGAACGAGCTGGTTGAAGATGTCAGAGATTTGTATGCTCGAATTACATACGACTTTCTCCAAGGCTAGGCTTAACAATAGGCAGGCGAGGCCATCGCCATAAAAAAACCTATGGTGGATTCAAGCTGTGGAGAAAAATCTTACTATCCATACAGTACACCTCGTACCGTCCCTCGTCATCCTGATCAGTCGAACCAGTTTCAACGGAACTCGGAAAGTTCTCTCAAAGCTGCATACAATGTGTGCTTTTTGTGCTATTATAAGTACTCTTGAAGTCGACAAAGTGGTGTTAGTAATCATTCGATACTCCTAGGACTTCTCAAGGATCATTTAGAGACTGAACATTTGATCCACTTTAGATATCCCTCCTCTGAATCCTGAATCTTTTTCTCTTTTTGAAACTTGCAGAAGATTTTTATAAATGGCGTTAGATAAAACCTTGTAGACACACTGCAGCATCGAAATATCCCAGTAGTTGGGGCATCCTACGATGTTGCCTTTTTTATGAAAGGGATAGATTCTGCCTCACTTCTACTGTTGAGAATGTAAGGAGATTATAGAGGGCCTTCAACAATTCTTCGCCACCATGCTTCAGAAGCTCGGCGGGAATATCGTGTTCAACCGGAGCGTTGTTGTTATTAAGCTTGTTTATACCACCTTCCACACCATCGCACATAGGTGGGGCAGGGGTTTCACTATCATCTCTATCAGGCATCTCCCACTCCTCTAGATCTCTTGCGTTTTCAGGCAGTATTTCATATTTTCTGTGGATTTTCTGTCATGGATCTATCCTACTTTCTATATGTAATGGCACGTGATTTGAAGCAGGTTTTATTGTGATTGATTCTTTGCTAGACAGTTCTGTATGTCCGATTTTTTCCCTCGTTTATCCTGCACTGTTCATCGAACCATCGTTTTCTCCTTCGCTTTTCCTCGATCCCAATTACTTCCTTTGCTACCTCAGTCATAGCTGTTTCACACTCTTTCCATTGATTATCAATGGTTGCATTACGGTCAATGGTCCTTATCTTTGTATCCATTGCAGCAGTGAACCTTGTCTGAATCTCTTCGCTTTTGAGCTCGGATGTGTCAAACTGATGGTAGATAATTTGATAAAATAATAACTATTTCGAGTCCTTGTACCGAGGGGGCTTTTAACTCTGTCATTAATCCTCCGCATGGCGTAGGGAGTAGGCTGTCCCATCGCCCATCCAGTTAGGATGCAATCAGCCATCCCACAAAGGTTAACTGCCTCATGCAGTTAGTTTAGGGATATCGTCCTTATCAGTTATAACAGTTCAGTACACCATACGCATCTACCAAAACAGTACACATGCATACCAATACACTACTAATACCCTAAAATACGCACACAACACGCACATAAAGGTCACTAACAGTACACACCCTAGGGCTACCTTTCCTAGGAAGCCACTCCGGTTGGAGGACCACGTTCAGGGGCTCTGGAGAGGCAGACCCTCCATTGAAATCGGGGGCGGGGAGCCGATAATTCACCCTCCTTAAAACCAAGCTATCACGAAACCAACAAACGTGGAAGCTGTACTGAAATCTTTGAAAAGAAGATAGATGAGCGTCCTGGATTTGATGCTAAGCCCTGTCTCGGTGATTTCAATGCAACGTAAGGACAGGAAAGCATTTATCTCCTATTATAAGAAGACATGGCCTGCACTGTTGGAAAAAAAAATTAGTGATAACGATGTGACAGATTGCAATATATCTCAATAAAGACATTTCCTTAAAACAAAAGTGATAACGATAGTCGTCGTCGATAGCTCCCGCACAAAAGAATTCATAAGGCGACGTGGAGATCTCATATATAAGAAATCCAAGAAATTCAAATAAGTCGAAACGCAGTGGCATAATCATAAATTTAAAAAAAATCTTTTTATTGAGAAATAATACATTTTGCCACATTTAAGGGCACTGACTACTAAAGCTGACTTAGGCCCATTCATACTATATATACAATACAATAAAAAAATAAAATAAATAAAAAATATAAATATATATCTATATAACAAAGGCAAAAAGTATAAAACCAAAGAAATGTAACTTGAAATCAAATTAAAAAAAAAAAATAAAATAATACAGAAATTGGTAGCAAATTAAATAAGTCATTAGTAAAACAAATAAATATATATAAAAAAAAACATTCATACATAATTACAATATTTACAATCAGCCAAGGGAGCTTCGAGTCCAGCCCTTTCCTCCACGTGTGAAGGACAAAGTGAGACTCTAAGAGATCCAGTGACAGTCTTTACAAAAGGTCGCGAGGCCACTGCCGTTTCAACCTTCGAGGAGGGTTGTAGGGGTGACTGGTGGTGGATAAGAATTGTGCTATGGGGTTAGGATGGTGGATTAGGTGCAGATGAAAATTTGAGAATCGATATGGAATAACGTCAAGGACATAAGGGATGTAAAGGTCATGATGTAAGGTTTTGTTCGTAACATAATAAGGAGCATTGAGTATTATACGGAGGACTTTAGACTGAAAGGATTGGATGCATTCGATGTTTGAAAATTTAGTTGTCCCTCACAGCTCGAGTCCGCAGGTCCAGATTGGTTTCAGTATGGTCTTGTATATTAATAGTTTGTTTTCGATTGAGAGTTTGGATTTTCTGTTAATTAGTCTGTATAACTGGCCAAGTCATAGGTTAAGTTCTTGCCTTTTAAGTCTGGTATGTGGGTTCCATGTTAGTCTTTTGTCAAAAAGGAATCCTAGATACCGAACTGCGTCTGATACGGGGAGAGGTACAGAGTTGAAGAGGATAGGTGGACAGGATCTGCGTCGGATGCTTGCTTTTGGATTCGTTGATTTTGATGGGCCAGTTGTTGTACCACTGCTCAATTATTGAGATATGTCTTTGAAGGTTTAAGGATGCTGTTTCAGGATCTGTGTGGGATGACAGGATGGCAGTATCGTCAGCGAATGTTGCTAGAAGGGTATCGGGATTGGTTGGAACGTCGGCGGTGAAGAGGATATAGAGAACTGGGCCCAAGACATTGCCTTGTGGAACACCAGACTCAACTGGATAATAATTGGATAATTCAGTGCCGCAGCGGACTTGAAAGGAACGATTAGAGAGGTAGGATTTGAGGAATAGGTACAAGGATTGAGATAAATGGGTTTTAAGCTTGAAAAGCAAGCCATCTTGCCACACTCGGTCGAAAGCTTGCGCTACGTCCAGAATGGCACCAGTGCAATATTGCTTGTTTTCAAGCGCAGAGGATATATGGTCAACAGCGCGAAGGCCTTGTTGAACAGTGAAATGTCTTGAGCGGAAACCAAACTGATGGGAAGGGATATTGTGGGTTTCGAGAATGGGTAGGATGCGTTTGAGAAGGATTTTTTCAAAGATTTTTGAGAGGATCGGGAGCTTAATGGTCCCGTTTAATGGAAGGAAGTTTAATGGTCTATAGGATGAGTTATTATTAACAGGTTTACCTGGCTTAGGGAAGAGGATGATTATGGAGTGTTTCCATATCAGAGGAAAGTGAGTTGTGCGGAGGGTACAGCTATATAGGTATGTGAGGAATACGATTGCTTTATTGGGAAGTTGTCTAAGGATCTGGGAAGTAAGGAGATCATGTTCAGGGGATTTTCGAGGTTTCAAATTGTTTATAAGGAATTTGACCTCAGAGGGGTTGACAGCTTTAGGAGGTAAGGAGAGAGGAATCGGAGAAAAGAGGAGTTCTTTAACTTCAGCAGTGTGGGTGGGATGGAGTTCGGGGAAGGGAGTGAATGTGTTGGATAGGTGTTTAGCAAGATTTAGCGGACTGTGATTTGAGTAAAGGTCATCGAGTTATAGAAATGAGTAATTTAGCGGCCATAGACCTTTGTGAATGAAGAAGTCGAGGATATCAGGATTACGTTTAGGATCGGTTGGCCAGTATGTAGGAGTATCACAGAGAAGTATGTTGGAATTGTGGGAATTAAGTGCAGACAGCAACGATCGCCAGCGGGAATTCGTGGTTCTGGCTCCCTATTGCTGATGTTTGGCGTTAAGGTCTGCACCTATAAGGAAGTGGTGTCCTAGGGAATTAAGAAAGGAAATGAAGTTAGGTTCAGGTATTGCTACTTTAGGTGGAGAGTATGCTGTGACAACTGTAAGAGGAAAAAGTGAAGTTTGGATAGTTATTGCTGAGGTTTGTAGGAAATTGTGAACTGGTAAAGGATACACGTGCTGAGAGAGGGACTGGTGGATGATGACAGCAGTGCCAGCATGTGCTGTGCCATCAGGGTGGTCAGTTCGATATATCTTGTAGCCAGGTATGTTGAACTGTCTTTTTTTCAGTTAGTCGGTTCTCAGTTATTAGGCCTGTCTATGATATTGCCCTGTAGAAAAAAGGTTAGTTCGATGATGTGATTTCGAACACCATTCGCATTCCAAAGGAAAATGGAGAGGTTTTATTGAGGACATTTAGGGAATTCTTGGCGATGGGATAAGATTAGCTATGACATTTGTAAATAAGGTAATGAACGGGGTGTTGAGGGATTTGATTTCGGAGAGGAATGATGTAAGGAGGCTGGTAAGGTCATTGGAATGATTAGGGAGAGGAATGTAGGATATTTGGTGAGGATTGAACTTTTGGGTGTTATTATGTTCGGGAGGTGAACCATGAGGTAGTGGTTGAGTTTGCGGCAGGGCCTGATGTTGAGTATGCTGTTCTAATTCTCCTAACATTTGAGCATAGGAGACTTCTTTGTTCTTTGCAAATCTTGTGGGTTGCCTTGGTGGTCTGGAAATCCTGGAAGTCTCTTCATGTCTAGGTGCTGTCTGTAATCTTGATTTTACGATTTTATATGTCTGGCATCCTTTGTCATTTGCTGGGTGATCTTTATGGCATAATGCGCACACAGCAGGAGTTTGCTTGGACTTATTGCAATCTTCCGACTTATGTTGCTGCCTGCACTTCACTCATCGCGATAAGCGGTGGCTTTTAGTATGGCCATAGGATTGGCAATTATGACATTGTACTATTTCTCGTTTTGCATACGGTTTTTCGACAAGTATGCTAGTGTAGTATAGGCGTCTTAATTTATAAATGTTTTTGGCCCCACTGGTGCGCTCTAGGTCTGCGAAAAATAGTGGTAGGGCTATTTTGTTGTTTGCACCTTGATGCTCTTTATCATCTTTTTATACATTGACTAGTTGGCCAACACTGAAACCCAGTTCTGTCAATTCTTCTCTAATTGCCTCAGGTGGAGTTGATGGATGGAGGCCTCTTATCACCCCTCTTAGTGCTCTCTCTTGAAATAACTGATAAGTATGGAATTCAGCCTTTGTATCAGTCAAGTATTTTACTATTTTTCTATATGATTCAGGAGAATCTGGTATCAACTTGGTGTCATTGGTTCGACTATGGCATGTGTATTTACTATTGTCAAGTAATTTATTTAAATGCTGGCAAAATAGCGGAACATTTTTTATGTTTCTTATCGGAGGTGGTTTTGGCTCTCTGGGGGTTGATGGTATTTCCATAGTTTCTTCTGGGGTATTAGATAGTAGATGGTATGGGTTAACAGTAAAAAATGGCGATTCTTCAATTTCAGTGTTTGTTTCGGTGGTCATAACTTCTGTTGAGGTACCAGGTTGTGGGTCGTTCACTGCATCATTTGGTCTATCAGGTCTAGATGGTGGTGTTTTTCTGTTTGAACGCCTAGGCTTTTGTTTTACTGGTGAATTACGAGAGCTATTATTGCCT